GGTATAGCTGCTTCTTGTCCTGGGGGGGCCGGGGGGGTTCCTGCTGCTGCTGCAGAGACACCAGGTACGCTCGCTCCTGCTGCAGCTGCCTCTGCAGGCGCTCCGCCTGACGCTGCTCCTCGATCTGCTTCCTCTTGTACTCCTGCAAAGCAAACACAGGAGAGGAGAGTGATGAGGTTAAAGGGGGGTTTCTGGATTCTCAAATTCAGAAGTGTTAAATAAAACACTACGTCTTAAATACTCCCCGAGAAACATTAGTTAGAATGTCTTTCACATTTCCCTTAAAAGGTTAATATTACAGTATCTAGTCCAAAGGTATCAGGACACCGTCTCATGTATCATTACATCAGAGTGACTAAAGTCTTGTGCCCGTTTTTACTTTAACTTCTTATATTTATCAAAATGATTTTTACGCTTCATTTTATTTCATCATTAATTGGACATTTTACTTTAACGTCCATGTTTGATTATATATCATTATTTAATTCTATCTTTTTATTGTAAATTCTTACTTTTATTTTCATTTGTATTTATTATATTCATTCTAAAATGGAGCAAAGGTCACAACTTCAATCATTTGTTCAGTGGTGCAGAAACGTAACTACCTTTAAATATTAAGTAATTGATAAAGCCATGGCAAAAACAATTACTGCGGGAAACATTCTGAAACAAAACGGTTTAGACTGTGGTATGACAGAAGGCTCCATTTCATTTATCGCAGACCAATAAAAATGACTGGGTATGTAATAAAAATGACTGTCATAAAGGCTCTGAGTTGTTATTACACTGCTGACTAACGGCGCACTGTCCCTGCTGTCTTGTTTTCCGTAATGGAAAAAGGATGCAAACATCATCGTGAACAATGAAGCTGAATAAAGTGTAATTTCACAAAAGACAGCTATCGACAAACACGCCCTCCGCTCTGTGTTTTTATTGATTTGATGTTTGTTAACTATTTTTCTGGAGTTGACATTTGATTCTGTCTCATCTCAGTATTGATCGAGTATCTGCCTTTTAGATTTTTTGTGTGTAAATAACAAACATGGAGACGGCACTCACCACTTCTTCTAAGTCCAGATGCCTATATCAACTATTTTAGTTTTTTACATGTTTCATTATGTGTGTTACCAGTATTGCAAAAATGTGATTTTTAAAAGTGTTTGTGTCCTGCTTAAAAGTCCCCAGCTGTGTGTGTGTGTGTGTGTGTGTGTGTGTGTGTGTGTGTGTGTGTGTGTGTGTGTGTGTGTGTCGTAGTACGACATACTATTAGTAACGTAAGTTATAACNAAACACAGCACTTGGGGAGTCCTCTGAACATTTGAAGGAAAAAAAAATATTAGGGTGCAGCTATATGTTTTATTTATTTCAAAGTGGGCCCATTTTAATAATATTTTTTTTTCCTTCAAATGTTCAGAGGACTCCCCAAGTGCTGTGTTTAATTTATTTTAAAGTAGGCCTGTGTATTATTTGTAATTCTCCTTATAGGAGTTCTTTGTTTCTTATTAGAGGTTAACAGTTGTATATAATGTAATAAATAGCCTAATAAATGCAAAAAAACTGTAGTTTTTGTCTGATATAACAATAAATACAACTTTATTAGCTATCAAGCTATGAAATATGTTTTGCAGGTCCAGACAAAACATTTTGGGGGAAAAAGGAGCAAAATGGCTCTTTTGGTCAAAAAGGTTGCAGACCCCTGGTCTAACGTAATCATCCCTCACAGTTTATAGCCCAACTTCCTGTTTAACCTTTGACCAACCAAACTTCTCTTTTGAATGAACTTACTTTGTTTAATGAAATGAAAGGGTTTAAAAATAATCAGATTTAATGCTGGAGCAACAATAACTTTTAATATACCAAAATTATCATTAGAATATATATGTTTTTTTTTAAATATATTTCACTGTTTACATTTTTCTGTGAACCGTTCTGCAATATCAAATATAAACCTGGATATTCAATAGAGCTGCATTATTCAATATGGAAAGAAATAGGAAAGCTGCAGTTTCATTTTCTTTCAGCCACTACTCCTTGCTTAACTTCTTTGTTATTATTATTTGTAACAGCAGTAGTTATTATAGCCAGGTTTCATGGCTGTTTGCACCAATTGTAGACCTCGTAGTGGAATTCAAACGAACGGTCTCAATGTCCTCCGAAGATCATAACATGACAGAAGTCAATGCAGCACAAACAGTGGCAGCTGGGAAGGATTTTCGGAATCAATATCAGTTTATGATAAAGCTTCTCCGAGATTGCCGGTTCAAACATCAAACAACAGCGCTGAGATCTTTCCCCCTGAAGGTAAATCATTCTGTAGAGTCAGACTGGAGCGCATCAGAGTGTTATTTATTCATCCTGTCATGGTGCGGTAACAGGATTAATACCTGAGTTTATATAATCTCAGTTCCTACCACCTGCCACCCAACAGCTCCGATGGAAAAACCCACAGTGAACCTGGCAACCCAACCTAGCTCCCCGAGTGTGTTCTCAAATGCTCTCACACTATCACACTCTCAGGGGACTAAATCCTGATTCTCTGACCCTTAAATATTATGTATTTGTATTTGTTATTATTTTTATTTGATCCGTCATAAACCCCAACCTGGTTTGCAGTTGCCCATCTGTGAATAAAATCATTTTTTTATGCATTATTCTCAGAGAAGTACGTTTATATTTTTGCCCTGCAGCCTAGCATCAATCCTGTCTTAACTGTGTTGGAAAGTGTCTGCAGCAATTAACCAGGTCAAATGCTCTGTGGATTTACTGCAAATAGCAAATTAAAACAATTATTGGATTCAGTCCTAGTCCCAAACAGACGGAAATGAGCCCGAGTGTGAGAATGAATACAGTGTGTGGCTGATTGTGTGCTGGTCTGGACCCAGAGTGGCTCTTTGCTCTAGTGGACTGCTGCCTTTGGAAACACATCAAGAGCCCTGAGGCCTGCTGTTAAACCCTGCCAAGAGAACCTTCTGTACTATCCCTCTCTCTCTCGTTACTGTTTCATCTTCCTCACTGGTTTCATACAAAGGAGGAGAAATGCTCAAATTAAGAAATGTATTGGTCAAAGTGTTATTTTAAAAATATGTCAAAGAATGCACCAACAACAGATTACTTCTTCGTGTAGTTTCACTTAACATAAAAAGGATTTCATTTTTAGATGCAGCAACAACATGGAAGATTTCCTTTGATGCATGAATTTGTGTCTTTGTTGCCTTTCTTAACTTGACATTGCAATATGGGTTGTATCACTTTGTATTCATAATACTAACTCTCTGGAAACTGCGGAAGGTAAACAAACCTAAGTACGGTGTGCTTAAGATGATGGATTGTTGTGATACATGCAGACAGGGAACGACCTAGACGAAGTCTTCACTGTCAGTATTAGGGTGGAAGTATTATTATTTTAAAAGAAAATGCACAACAATCTGCCTTTTTTGAAATGGAACATGAAAGCCAATTTAAATGTGTGAGAGATGTATTTTAACAATCAGGTGTAGTGCAGTGCAGCTAAATCATATCTAGATGCAAATAGGATACCGCCTCACACTAATGCCAGGTGTGCAGGGACTACTGTCAACCAAAAATATAGACCAGATAAAAGAGGAACACCCAGACTTCATATAAAAAGCCACAGGAAGCTGTGTATTTGATGTCAGCAAGAATCTCCTGAATACACACGGCTATTCAGGCTGATGCAGGTTTGTGCATTAGTATGTTGCATGCTTAATTGCTGACAGAAACACTCTTAACACGTCTCCAGAAGCCGGCTGCAGTGGCGTTATAAACCCAGACTCCCTGAAGGTTGTGGCAAACATGATGATAAAAAGAGAAACACAGATGGAGGCTCCCCATAAGCTATAAAGTGCATCCGGTGATAGTTAAGACGCTGTTCTGTAATCACCATGTCATGTCTGCAACAACGCCCCAAGAAGCATGGTGCTCTATCACAAATGATTTGCCGTATGTAGCGGTTATATAATATGTGTTCTGTGTTTCCTGCTTGGCTTGTGGTAATAATAATTCACTTTTTCGCAAGTGTAAAAGGATTGGGCTTTTGACTTATTTACCTGGCCTTGGCCCTGTCTCTCCAGGTCCACCACACACATGTCCACGATGGGCCCCAGATTGGTGAACGTCTCCATCACCCCCACATAGGAGCCCTGCTCATTGCTGTCCACGTTGAGCTGCGGGGAAACCAACACCACATTTAGTATAGATTTCCATTAAAGACTAAAAGAGGGAACAACTACTTTGATCCATTTCTCAAATTTATTTTATTACCTGCAACAAATTATTTTACTAACAGGTTTATGGAACATTTTAAAGATTAAAAGACATCATGTATTTTAGGATTGTAATAATAAACGTTATTAATATAGCACCTTTCATGCCAGATGCAACCCAAAGTGCTTTACGGATACAAAATAAAGATGGAGATGTGTGAAAGCGTCTATTGCGGCTTACCTTCACCAACTGGGAATCGCCCAGTCTGGAGCCCACAAAGACCACACCGTTGTCCAAGTAGGTCAAACACTCAGCGATGGATGACTGTCATTGGAGAGAGAAACAAAAACCTCTCAGTCTCTGATGCTATATCCACACCAGGCCTGCAAGCCTATGATTATTCCTTTTTTTTTGGCAAAGCTAGCAGCATGGCTCAGGGGATGTCGAAGTCCATCTGTCAGAGTCAGCCAGTAGTGAAGAATGACTATCACCATTTCTACAGAGTCCACAGTGATGTCTTCAAATAGCTTGTTTTGGCAAACCATAGCCTTACCCCAAAGATATTTAGTTCACCATCATATGAGGAAAGAAAAGCAGCAAGTCTCCTCATTGGAAATGCTGAAACTAGCAAATATGTCTGCATTTTCGCTTGACAAAATTACGATATCATCAATTAACAGTGGCAATATTAAAATATTTGCAGATTAATTTCAGTCAATTTACTTTCTTATTGCTTCAGTTCTATTGCACACTTATGCAAATACTATTTGAATACATCCTTATTGTCTCCACTTTGAACTCCAAAGCACATTAGCTCAGCATTAACAAAGCTTTGTGTTAAGCCAAAACTGTGTGAGAAAAGTTGATCAAACGTAAAACAGTTATCCCAATGAAACAAGTTGCCTTCCGTGGACACCATTTTGCAATTCAAAAACCGTCAAAGTTCATTACATGTATGATTATTATTTGATATTATTTTAGAATTTAAGCGATTCATGTAAGAACCTAAGCTTTGCAAATGTACGTTTTTGCTTGCTGCCCTCACGTCTTTAATTATTTTGGTTTTGTTTTTATAGTTGGTCAAACAAAACAGTAATTATGAGTCGTCTCTTTAGACTCTCAGGGGGGAAATCATCATTATCTTTGACCTTTCACATTCTAAACTACTAAAATAATTGGTAGATTGCTTGATAATGAAAATAATGATTATTTGTTTCCCAACTCGAGCAATCATCTGAAAGCGACAATTTTATGAAAGAGTGTGGAACCTGTAGCTCTGCTGAACCATAAATTAAGTCTAAACAAGGACGGCTGATAATTGTATAACTGAACAATTTAGTTTTTAGCCAAATGGAAGATAAGAAAATTAACATAGAAGCATATTCTAATAATAAGTTATTTAATAGCAGACGGACCTCTGTTGAATAAATGTTTTCAAATTCACCATTATCAGTGTGAATATAGTGTTACACTCTGCGGTTTTATGATACACATAAAGAGGTTTGTCTGTCTGACATTTCAATGCAGGGCTGCTGCTGCTGCTGCTGCTGCTCCTGTGGAGTGAGCACACTGGTCCTTAGGATAAAGTTCAGAATGATTTGAAAAGCAATCCCTCTCTAGTTCAGCGCTCCTACTCTGCTTGATTGTTTCTCGCTCCATCATTACTCAGTCCACATTTACCTTTCTAAACTCCTCTGCAAGTTATTAGAAGAAGGTGGCACAAGCCAAGAGCTGCGTGCTTTTAAGGTGCGATTTAGCTTTGAGCGCAGTATTGACATACAGACATCGTTTAAATCAACTTAAAAGAGATAAGTGACAACCTAGAAAGGTAGCAACAAAAGAGGTGGGATCATTTGTTCACATCTTCTCTACAAGTGTAGATCCATTAGCTCCTGTCAGAGCCATAAACCATTAGGGAGTCAATCGGAACAAAGAGGGTGCTGAAAGGAAAAGGCAGCAGCAGGAGGGAAATCAACAAGCAGCAGAAAGGGCAGGACAGGTAGAGAGAAACAGATGGGAGGAATGCCAGAGGTAAGGCAGGTGGGTGAAGGCATTGAAGAGAAGGAGATAAAGAGACATAAAGATAAATAGAAGACCTCTCCGAGCAGCTCCACATGCAGGTCTTTGAGTGCCACTGTGCCGTCCATCAGCTCTTCCTTCTCCAGCAGCAGCATAAACAGCCTCCCCTCCATGTCCCCCAGCAGGTAGCGGGAGCCATTGGGGTCAACCCGGTTGTGACAGACGATGGTGCTTTGCTGCAGACGAGAGGGGGACACAAACACATCGTTAAAATGACACGGACAGTGGAGGAGCAGGTCCTTGTATTAGTTAAGAAGTCTAAATCCTCACCTCATGCATTATCTATTATGAGCATGTCCAAGAACAAGTCAGAGAGACCTGACAGCACAATGTTTTTGTTCTGCCTCATTTATAAATACAAACTCTGGAGTTTCCCAACAGTACAGTTTAAATCGGAGTCACAGATCTAGAGACTGCTCGTATTTTGTTTGACAAGAAAAGCTCAGATGAAACAAGTCTGCCTGTCGTCCCGTCAGAACGACAGGAGACAAACGGAGATGCTTACAAGTTTATTTTTGCTTCTTGTTTGAGAAACTACAATTTGAATGCGAGTTACAAATGACATGCTGGAGCTGTCGTTTTTTTTACATTTTAAAAATTATAGAGGATTTGTGAGGACTTTAATTTTCTTACAGAAGAACCGTACATTAAAAAAAACATTGGATTAGGAATATGGCAACCCGAGCCCAAAAATCTGTGGATTTGATATAAAAAACAAACAAAGGAGAATCCAGTACGATCAGCAAACCTAAACTATCTGTCATAAACTGTCACTGAGTGAGGTATCGAGTACTTTGAATGACTTATATCCATGGAATCATAATACCTTTGTTATTTTAAATAAAAGGGGTTTAAACATTTGAACAGAGTCACACTTTACATTTTATTAGAAAGTTTAAATGGTGCCGACCAATCAAACTGAGCTTAAAGTTCTGTATGTATGAAAAGGTTCAAATAAAAGTTGTGTTTGGGGCTATGTGTTTCTGCCTTTAGGCAAGAAGAATTTGTTGAGTTTGATGTCTTCTAGATGGCAAGGTTAAACAAAATGCATCTCCTCTAATGTGTAATTAAAGGGTAAGTTGTTAAAGAGAGAGGAAAACACGGTATGGGATGGTTATCGCAGACAGTCAAGGTGAAGTATCTGAAATGAACGAACATTGAGTCAACCCTGAATGTGATCTTGAATTCTAAAGAATCCTTAAACTGTGTGATTGAGCAGAACATTTGACATTACATGGTTGAAAAATAACTCATCAGTGCTCCCTGGAGGTCAAATGATGCAATAGCTTCACTGTTTCTATATCACCCACTGTATAGGCAACATATATTAAGTATGTATTTACTTGAATATCGTTTGACTTATCAGGTGACATATATGCTAATAGGGATATGTGTGATAAGTTAATACTGGCTCATAATAGGAGCTTGGTAATTATATGATATCAGGTTCCTTTTGTCGTATCAATATATTCCCACAGAGGACTGTGTTATACAATATACTGTATGCTCCCCCAGGTAAAACTGGAAAGCCACTCAGACAGAGTGACACATAAAACGTCTTCTTCTCCTTTCTACTGGAACAAAACTCCCCAGGGATATTGTCAGATAGGGCTGTCCCGAGTAGTTTGAGGCTTTCAAGCTTTGTTCATAGGGTTAACAAACTTTTGATTGCTGCACAGATTTTGTCTTACAAATCTAGTCCACTCATTCTGTTTGGACCCAGTATTTTTGCACAGTTGAAAGTAAGATATGGCTTTAGTAATACTATTGGTGTTTTGTTATTTGTGGAATTAGATTGTTAAATGAATCATGTGACCTACAGATGGCAAATAACTCAAAAGAATGAACCTAAAAGTAAAAAACCTTTTGAAAAATGATAAATATAAAATGTACAACATGTTTTTATTATCTATTTTTCAAATATTCTGTTGGCATTCCTATTTGTTGGCCTCTCAAAAGCAACATTTTCAGTGTGATGAAAAAACTGACTTTCCATCGTTTTTTGAACACACATGGGCCCTTTCTCATTTCACTCATTGCCCCTCCTCAACTCCTCGGTTTTCCGGTAGTGGCCCAGAAATGGATTTTCAGCACGCCATGTTGAAGTACATCTCATTTCTCTGAATGCACTTCAATGCCGAGCATCGAGGAGGCTCTCTGGAGGAGCTATAACCGAGGAGACACTGATGGTTCCTACATCCGCGGATGTATTTCCGGGAACAGAGATGTTTCAAAGAGTCGTGACGCACGGCCGGACTGATCTCAGCCAATGACAGCTCTGCATGCATCCTCTGGATATTATTTTATTAACTGCTTTCATCGCGATGCAATGTTTACAGTGAGAACAGCTGTGAGGTCCGTGCAGAAAGCAGAGCAGTGTGTATAATATACATCGCTCAGTATAACAGGCCTACTCTCTTTATTTGCTGTAGTTTAGTAGATATCTACAAACAAAGAGTCAATATTTTTCTAAGGCCATTTAGTGCTTCACATAATAAAATACACAACGGCTGTAGCCTGATTATGCTTTAGGGGCTGTAGGTGTGTGTGGTACAGTGTGTAGGTGTGTGCGTGGTACAGTGTGTAGGTGCGTGTGGTACAGTGTGTAGGTGTGTGTGTGGTACAGTGTGTGGGTGTGTGTGTTGTACAGTGCGTAGATGCAGCGGACAGACGGGTCTCAGTTGGTCTGGTGTCCTATGCTTACTTTTAATACTTGTAAAAACTTTTGGCCCGTAATTTATTTTCCTCATTGTAGCGACCAGAGGGGGGGGGGATATATCCAGTCTCTGATAGTGTTACGTTATTATGAGAGTGCTCGGTTTGATTCTGGTAAGCTATATATTTATATAAATATATACGTATAT